ATCACACTATAATTGACCGAGATTGTACTAATTCGACTTCAATTGGACTAATTCTAGTTCGATTACACTATAATTGACTGAGATTGTAGTAATTCGACTTCAATTGGACTAATTCGAGGTCGATTACACTATAAGTGACCGAGATTGTACTAATTTGTATTCAATTGGACCAATTCGAGGTCGATTAAACTATAATTGACCGAGATTGTACTAATTTGACTTCAATTGGACTAATTCAAGGTTCATTACACTAGAATTAACCGAGATTGTACTAATTTGACTTCAATTGACCGAGATTAGTGTAATTTGACTTCAATTGGACTAATTCGAGGTCAATCACACTATAATTGACCGAGATTGTACTAATTCGACTTCAATTGGACTAATTCGAGTTCGATTACACTATAATTGACTGAGACTGTCCTCATTCGACTTCAATTGGAGTAATTCGAGTTCGATACGATTACACTATAATTGACTGAGACTGTACCCATTCGACTTCAATTGGAGTAATTCGAGTTCGATTACACTGTAATTGACCGAGATTGTACTAATTTGACTTCAATTGGACTAATTCGAGGTCGATTACACTGTAATGAAGTCGAATGGGTACAATTGAAGTCAAATTAGTACAATCTCGGTCAATTACAGTGTAATCGAACTCGAGTTACTCCAATTGAAGTCGAATGGGTACAGTCTCAGTCAATTATAGTGTAATCGAATTAGTCCAATTGAAGTCGAATTAGTACAATCTCGGTCAATTATAGTGTCATCGACCTCGAATTAGTCCAATTGAAGTCAAATTAGTACAATCTCGGTCTATTATAGTGTAATCGAACTCGAATTACTCCAATTGAAGTCAAATTAGTACAATATCGGTCAAATTAGTACAATCTCGGTCAATTATAGTGTAATCGACCTCGAATTAGTCCAATTGAAGTCGAATTAGTACAATCTCGGTCAATTATAATGTAATCGATCTCGAATTAGTCCAATTGAAGTCGAATTAGTACAATATCGGTCAATTATAGTGCAATGGACCTCGAATTAGTACAATTGAAGTCAAATTAGTACAATCTCGATCAATTATAGTGTATTCGATCTCGAATTAGTCCAGTTGAAGTTGAATTAATACAATCTCGGTCAATTATATTGCAATGGACCTCGAATTAGTCCAATTGAAGTCAAATTAATACAATCTCGGTCCATTATAGTGTAATCGACCTCGAATTAGTCCAATTGAAGTCAAATTAATACAATCTCGGTCAATTATAGTGTAATCGAACTCGAATTAGTCGAATTAAAGTCAAATTAGTACAATCTCGGTGAATTATAGTGTAATCGACCTTGAATTAGTCCAATTGAAGTCGAACTAGTACAATCTCGGTCAATTATAGTATAATCGAATTCGAATTAGTCCAATTGAAGTCGAATTAGTACAATCTCGGTCAATTATAGTGTAATCGAACTCGAATTAGTCCAATTGAAGTCGAATTAATACAATCTCGGTTAATTATAGTCTAATCGCCCGTTATCTTTTAAAAAATAAAAAATTAAAATAAAAATTAAAAACGGATTTTCAAAATCTGTTTTTAAGTTATATGTATATATTAATTAAAAATTAAATAAAAAAAAAAAATTAAAACGGATTTTTTAAATCTGTTTTTAAGTTTTTTTTATATTATTAATTAAAAAATATTATAAAAAAATAAAAAATAAAAAATATAAACGGGTTTAGAAAATCTGTTTTTTAACCAAAAATAAAAAAAATAAAAATAATAAATAATAAATAAATAAAAACGGACTTTCAAAATCCGATTTTCAATGAAAAACGGATTCCGAGAATCCAGCTTTTTGATTTTTTTCCACTCTTTTTTATTTTTTTTATTTTTTTCCACTTATTTTTCTTTAAATAAATAAATAAATTCGTATATACACCAATATTTGAATTTTTTGTTTATTTTGCAGTTTAGGCACTATTTGATGTTATGTGTATTAATGACGTGGTCTTGATGAGGCGGCAGCCGAGTAGATTTTGGGCCGAGAGGTGAAAAGCTTGGGGATTTAGTTTCACTTCGGTTTTGAGACTTAGACGGGAGGTGGATTTAATTAATTTGTTGAAGACCAATTATTTGAACAAGGAAACAAAATGTGAGAGAGTAACTCATTGAGGAGGAGTGATGCAGAAAGAGCAGTTTCCCGTTCCCGTGGAAAAATCCCTCCCTACTTAGGGTTTTGCAGTTCCAATATTTTGGATTTACCGCTCTTCTTTGATTTTACCCGCAGTAAACTCCGTAATTCGGCTCTTAGGAAGTTCCAGTGTTATTTTCTGTTACATTTGCCCTAAATCTGATTGGGTTTCTTTTGTCTTTCCTGTTTTCCTTTGCTTCTTTCCTCTTTGTTGTGACTTTGTATTCTGCAGGGTGGCCACTTCTATCACCGCAAATCTAGTGAGTTTCAACGAATCTCGGTGAGATGGAACAGGACATCTCTGAGAAGCTTCAGAAGTTCACTCTATCGGATAGAGAAAAATCTCGGGTTCGACTATCAGATGACGACATAGAACCGGGCCTACAAGAATGTAATCTCAGTCTCATTGGAAAAATAGTTGGGGATAAAAAAGTTAACATGGGGGGTCTGAAAACAACCATGGGTGTTATATGGCGAACCAGCAGACCTTTCTCCGTTCGAATCTTGGGACATAACCATTTTCAATTCCTATTTCATGCGGAGGAAGATAAGGCCAAAGTGTTAAGGGGAAAAAATTGGTCTTTTGACAACCAGTATCTGCTGCTCAAAGAATGGAAAAAAGGGGAAACGGATTTTAAGGATGAGGAATTGAAAGTTGCACTCTGGGTTCAGGTCCATAATCTTCCATTGCATTGGATCTCTGAAGAAACAGGAGCTAAGATTGGAAAAGTGTTTGACAGAATCCACGACATTGCTATTCCAGGGGCAGGTAGTGTGAATGGAAAAATAGTCCGACTCCTCGCTGATATCAATGTGCTTGAACCATTACCAAGAGGTACTTTCATCACCCTTGCCTCAGAAGAACACTGGATAGATTTTCGGTATGAAAACCTTCTTACATTTTGTTTCTACTGTGGCCGAGTGGGACACAATGACAGAGGTTGTGACCTGAAAAAAGCGGATATTCATAATAGCTCGCTTAGCTTAGGTCAGTATGGAGAATGGCTTCGAGGTTCTTATGGGGGTATGTTTGAGCCAAAAGAAAAACGATCCTCAAGTCCGATTAATCCTCAACAAAACTCTGAATCTAGCAAAGCCATAAAACAGGGGGGCGGGATTGAGTCTTTAAGTGATAGTGTGAGAACCAATATCCCCAATCATAGCATAGGAGAGAGAGTAGAAACCCCGGATAAAACTCCCATCAAAAGCACAACTTTGGAATTGGCTATTGCTACTGGCTCAGGAAGTAAAACTCCTGAAAACAGTAAAGGCAAGGCCATTATAATTGAACCCATGGAGATGGACTTAAGTGGGATCCCAAATCCTAACTTCAGTAATCTCATTAATGTTCCAATTAGCCAAGCTAAGTCCACTGATATGCCAAAACAAAAAACCTTCCATAGAATCACCAAGAATAGAGGAAATGTTCAAATCTCTGGGACAACTAAAATCCAAACACCTCAATCACATCACATAGCACCCCAATCTCCTGTTTTGAAAAGGAAGTCTGATACCTCTGACAATACTGCTCAAGCTCAACACTTAGTTGAAACCAAGAAGCAAAAATTGACTGAGGTTTTGAGTGAAAAAATGGTGGAGGAAACCAGCCATAACTGGTCCCAAAGTGATAAATGAAGGTACTGGTGTGGAATTGTAGAGGTCTGGGAGGACCCTCTACAATTCCCCAGTTGAAGGATAATATAAGATCCTACCTTCCAGATTTTGTCTTCATTTCTGAAGTGAAAAAGAAAAAAGCTTTTGTTGATACAGTTTGTAAGAACATTCCTTTTGTTAGTAGCTGGGAATTTGTTAGCCCTGTAGGTAGAAAAGGGGGTCTTTTGCTAGGAGTTTCCCATAAAATCAAAATTATTGATATTATCCATAACTCTTTCTGTTTTGAAGTCTGTTTCCTCTGGGAAGGGGTAGGTGATAGGATTTGGGCTATTTTTGTTTATGCTAGTGTTGAGCAAGAGGAGAGGAAGTCCCAATGGCAAATGCTGATAAGACACCACCTCAGATGGGGTGATTTATGGTTCATTGGAGGAGACTTTAATGACATCCTCAGTAATGAGGAGAAAAATGGGGGTCTAGTCAGAAGTGAGTCCAGTTTCCATGCTTTTAAAAATTTTACCCAAATCCTTGGGGTGCTTGAATGCCCTTTCATTGGTCATCCCTTTACTTGGTCAAATGGTAGACAAGGTTCTGATTTTGTTGAGGAAAAATTGGACAGGTTCCTTCTCTCCCCAAATTGGCTCTTACAGTACCCCAAATCTTTTGTCACTCATGTCCAAATGGTATCATCTGATCACCATCTATTGGTGCTGCAAACCGAGGTGTTGGAGGAAAAAGGAAAAAAGAGATTTTGTTTTGATAATAGATGGGTTGGGCAAGCAGGAGTTGAGGACTGTATTAGGGAAGCTTGGAACTCAGAAAAGAGAGGTAAAGGTCTCTATAATTTCCAGAAGAAGCTCAGAAATACCAAGATGGGATTGTTGGGGTGGCTTGTGCAAAATCATACAAACTCAGCCAAAGCCATCAAATCATGTAACCAAAAGCTTGAGATTTTGGGTCAACAAGGTGGAAACAGAGACTGGGCTGAATGGGAAAATTGTAAGGGGCTCCTGCATAAGGCTTATAAAGATGAGGAAAGCTACTGGAAACAAAAGTCCAGACTCAAATGGCTCAGGGAAGGGGACAGTAACACTAAGTTTTTTCAAGCATGTGTCAAACAAAGAAGATGGGGGAATTCTCTTGAGAATTTAGTTAACAGCAATGGTGTCAAGTGTAGAGACAGAACTGAGCAACTTCAGATGATAATGGAATACTTTCAGAGCATTTTCCAATCTGCAAACCCAGAATTTATTGAGGAAGCTCTCTCAGGTATCCCAAACTCCATCACTACTGAGATGAATTTGGAACTCACTAGACCAGTGGATGAGCAGGAAGTTAAAGCAGCCCTGTGGGATATGGAGCCAAGCAAATCTCCAGGTATTGATGGTTTCACACCTTGCTTTTTTCAATCCTACTGGGAATTTATCAAAAAAGACCTTTGTTCAGCAATTGATAATTTTCTCCATACTGGTTGCATTCCATCCTCTACCAACCACACCCTTATAACTCTTATACCTAAAATCAAAAACCCTCAAAAGGTCTCTGATTTTAGGCCAATCAGCCTCTGTACAGTTTCCTATAGGCTCTTGTCAAAAATCCTGGCCTCTAGACTCAAGCATACTCTTAGCTCTTGCATTTCTCAGTCCCAAGCTGCTTTTGTCCCGGATAGATTAATCCTAGATAACATAGTAATAGCTAATGAATGCTTGCATTTTCTCAACAGCAAGAAAAAAGGCAAAAAATGCTTCATGGCCCTAAAAATTGACATGGCCAAAGCTTTTGATAGAATAGAATGGTCTTTTCTTATTAGAATCTGCAGAAAAATGGGGTTTGGGGAAACTTTTCTTTCTTGGATTTGGGCCTGTATCAGCACTACTTCTTTTTCTTTTAATATAGGTGGGCAAGCATTGGGCAACATCATCCCCTCTAGAGGGCTGAGACAGGGAGACCCTCTTTCTCCATACCTGTTCATCATAGTTACTGAAGCCCTCTCAAATCTTATTAATAAAGCCTGTGTATCCTCTAACTACAAGGGAATCCAAATCAGTAAGCATTCACCAAGTATATCTCACCTCTTTTTTGCTGATGATGCTTTGATTTTTTGCCATGCTGATCATTTCCATGCTCAAACCTTACTCAATATTTTGAATCTCTATTGTTCTGTTTCTGGTCAGGCAGTAAATTTGCATAAATCAAATGTTTTTTTCTCAGCCAATACTCCAGATGCCCTAAAAACTGATATTTGTCATATCCTTCAAGGTATTGTCATTGCTAAAAGCTCTAAGTATCTGGGACTTCCACTGGGAATTGGCAGAAACAAAAAAGACACCTTCGCTTTTGTTAAAGAGTGTGTAAGTTCTAGAATTATGAGCTGGAGGAATAAATTCCTAAGTGAGGCAGGCAGGGAGATTCTTATAAAGACTGTTTTGAGTGCTCTCCCTGTCTATGTGATGTCCATCTTTAGATTACCTGTGGGGGTTTGTCAAGATATTTATAGAGATTTAGCTACTTTTTGGTGGGGGAAAACTGATGAGGGAAAGAGTAAAATTCACTGGACTCTTTGGAGCTGTCTAGCTAAGTCAAAATGGGAGGGGGGTTTAGGGTTCAGAGACCTGTGTGATTTTAATGAAGCTCTTATCCTTAAGCAGCTTTGGAGATTGTTAACAAAGCCAAACTGTCTTATGAGTAAGGTTTTGAGAGGTAGATATTTCTTTAGGCAAAACTTTATGGAGGTTAGCAAGAAGTCTAGTGACTCTTGGATGTGGAAAGGGTGGTTAGATGCTAGGAAATCACTTGAGTTAGGAATGAGATTTCAGGTAGGTACTGGTAAGGCTATCAATTTGTGGGATTCACCTTGGATCCCAAAAAGCACAAAATTCAAACCTGTTTGTCAATTTGCAGATGATAAGTTGCACTTGAAGAAAGTCTCAGACATAATGCTGGAATGTGGCAAAAAATGGGACTATGAGCTCATCATGCAAACTTTTAGCCCATTGGATGCTGCAAACATCTTAAAAATCCATGTCAGTCAAACAGGCTCCACAGACAAGCTGGTGTGGCACTCTGACAAAAAAGGTATGTTCTCAGTCAAAGAAGCATACAAGACCATCCAACACAATCACAAAATGAAGAAGGGTTCTGAAGGCTCAAGCAGGAACACAGACAAGACAATCAGCCACATCTGGACTAGAACCTGGAAGCTACCTATAAAGCCAAAACTGAGGAACTTTTTATGGAGATGTTGGCACAACTGGCTGGGCACAAGAGTACAACTGCACCAGAGGGGTATGGCTGTGGACACCAAATGCTGCTGGTGTGGAGAAGAGGATGAAGATATAATTCACTTATTCTTCAAGTGTCACAGGGCCAAAAGGGTGTGGAAAATAGCAGGCTTGGACTGGGTAAAGCTTAACCAGGATCACATCGACTACAGAGAATGGTGGGAAGACTTATGTTCCATGCAAAATTCTGTGGCAAATGGCCATAGGATTACTCTATCCACATATCTCCTATGGTGGTTGTGGAGAACACGCAACCACTGGATATTCAATAAGGTGCAAACCACTGAATTACAACTTGTGAAAGGGGCCATGGGAGAATGGTTGGAATATGATCACATCAAAAGGAACAGTACAAGGTCAAGGAGCAGAAACCATTGTGTGTTATTGAGACAAGGAGTAGGGGAACATTCTCAGGTTCCCAGTGCTAGTGTCCCAAACATCCACAAAGGGCATCTGCTGTGCAAAGCTGTTATAAATGGGAAGGAGCATGTTGTTGTCTCTGTGCCTGGACAGAAGGGAAACCATCAATGGGAGTCCTCCTTACTCCAAATCAGAGATTGGCTGTTAATGGGTGAAAGGGTGGGGTGGCAGCAAGTTGAAATTCAGGTGGGATGTGAAATCCTTAAGCAGCATTTGACTAAAAATCTTGCTTTTGATTGTAATATAGCTGTTTTGGCCTCGGATATTGTTGCTCTTATTCCCTCTTTCGAGGCAGTGATTTTCTCTTCTTTGTCTTAGTTTTCTTGAGTAGGATGTTAGAATGGCCATTTAGGGTCTTGTAGGGAAGTTCTGCTGAGGACTTCTCCTTTTGATTATGTAGCCATTTGGCTAGCCCTTGTACATTGGTGTCTTATTAATGAAATTTGATGTTTGGTAAAAAAAAAAAACTCATTGAGGAGAGTTTCTATTTTCTTGGAGACTCACGTTTTAGAGAGCAATTTATTTGACTTGGAAGTTTTTGATTGGTCAAAACAAATAGGTTGTTTGTGAATTATTTGTGAGAGAGAATTAGTACGTTAGGCTAGATTTTTATCCAATTTTAGGGGATTTTTGAACCTCAACTTTAATTTGTCTATGAATTGAAGGATTTATTTTTATCGTTGGTTAACTAAGACGCCGTATTTATTTTTGTTGATGAGTTGATTTATGCTATCTGTGTTTAATGTTTATGAATTATGAGTATTTGATTTAGTTTGGCCAGCTACGTTGAATGTTCATAGTTTAATTGCTAGATTCGGGACTTTAATTCGTAATTGTTATTGTCTCATTTCGTTAGTAGTAAACTAGGGGTGGTGCATCTCTAGGGTAGCGAACATAAGTTAAACGGTCCAAGCTTTTGCATCCGTTGTTTAGACTGATCTATTTTTCTAGAGATTAATGCTTCTAGTGCACTAAATCTAGAGAGTTTATTCTAGGTTGTCCACTAGTTAGGTTTAGTCAAAGAGCTTATTTCGATTAAATATGTTGTAAGGAAAAATTCGGTTAACAGAGCTTATTGTTAGCTAGGGTTGGTAATTCGTTAGCAATTTAAAGAAAGCGTCGAAATTAATTAACGGTAGATTTAGATTGGGTGATAACTGAACCGAAAACTGGACTTCCCTTCTCTTAGTTTGTTTTGCTATTTTTATTTTTAGTTTTATAAAATCAATCCCCCTTATTTGCTTTCTTAGTTTTAGTTCAATTAATACAAAATTATCACAGTTTAATTCTAGCTCATCGTGGGATCGATCCTTACTCGCCGCTACTACTAGTGAGTAGAGGTTAGTTGAGGAAACATTATTGTATTCAATTGAGATTATTAAGGACTTTTTAATACTTTTTAAATTTGGAGACTTTTGTGGACTTTGTAAAACTTTCATGACTTTGGTGGACTTGTTGAGACTTTCAGAGAATTCTCATTAGTGACATTTTGAGACTTTCATAATGGACTTTTTAGACCTTATTGAGATATTTATATACTTGTAGTTATAATATTATGTTTGAATGAAACATTAATAAACGTAACATAATAACTAATATCAATTGAAGAATAAATGAAAAAAAATTGTTTTATATATTAATGCTCTAAAAATTTATGAATCAACTCATTGTTGTTATGCGAAATGAGTTATTACTAACAAATTGTTTAGGATTTTAGATTTATTAAACGAGCAAATCAATTCGAGCTTCAATGAGTCGAACTATGGAAGATACAAATTTGTCGAAACACAGTAATTGTATATTATAAAGTTATCAATAATATTCAAAACAATTCAATATCAACAAATAAACTATTAAAAAATAAAATAATTTTATTAATATTAAAAAATAAACATTGACAAATAAAAAAAAGAACAAATAAATATTTGCAAGTGTAAACTCTGGGAGCATTTAACCTTTGAAAAATCAAATTCACAAGATAACAAAATAAAAGAATAAAGGTATACATACATAAAATAACCATAATAAAAAATATATAAAATAAAGATCACGTTAAATATACGTAATAAAAATAAAAATTATAGAAGGTATCAAAATAAATGAGTAAAATAATAGAGCATGAAAGTGGTATGAGATACAAAGTCGTGTTAGAAAGAAAAAAGAAAGGAAGCGTGAAGAGAGTCACATAAGTCTAACAAAATCTCACCAATATTGATGAGATTTCTGTTGGGACTTTCATTTTGTAATTTTATTAGAAAAGTCTCTAAAAGTCTCACAAAGTCTTTGGCTTTGTTTGGTAATTAGCTGTTAGCTTTAGCGGATTGTAATAGCTGTTTTGACCAGCGGTTAGTATTAGCTGTTTTGACCGGCTGATACTGTTAGCTGTTCTAAAAATGATGTTTGGTTAAATAGTTGGTTGATTTGTAAAAATAAATTTAATGTTATTAACTTACTTATTTTATTATATAAATACTAATTAGAAAGCAATAGTTTCCATTTGTATTTATGCAATTATTTTTGTATCAACAAAAGTTAATTGATTCTTATATTAAATTAAGTTTTCATACTTATTATAATTAAAGTATAATAAAAGAAAGAATATAAATTAGAAACATAAAATGTGTGTTACTGTACTTAAATACAAATTGGTATTAAAAAATGACAACAAAATTTTCATCCTTATCTTTCAAATAGTCTTTTAACTGAATTTTAAAAAAACTGAACCACTCACATGAAATAAGTGCACGTAACTAAATGTGCTAATTAAAATTATATTTGGTTAAATCAAATATTTTATTAATTACCAATATTTTAGTTACTTTTATCAATATTATAGTAATTTTAGATTTTTTTTAATAATTGTAGTTATAATTGTTGATAAACGGATTTAATCAACGTAATTAATGTAAAAATCACAGTAAAGATTGCAGAAAATGAGATTTTTATTGAAAATCTTTAAGTCGGTTACAGAATTGGGAAGTCGGTTTTTCAATGTTCACTAAGTCGGTAAACAAAGAAAACCGATATAAATATGTGTGTTTTTATAACTTTTGCAGAATCCTCGTATCGTCTTCAATGTTACTATTTATAGTTATGCTTGGCACACATCCCTAGACAAATCAGCTTCGTTTTAATGAAGATTTGACAGTTTAGGGGCGGCAATGACGTAGGCAAGCTTTTTAGGTAATGATGAGCATGGGCGCTCCTCTATCTGTGTGACAAGCGTCACTTCTGTCGGGTTGAAGTCGGTATCATTTCGTAACGTCGGCATTTCGGTAGGATCTCAGTCTTCTACGACTTCCTGGTAAGCTGCTCTTTAACCGAGGTAGCCATTTCGAGGTTCTAACATTTTATTATTATTACCTTTGGGATCTACTGTTTTTCTTCAAAAAGTCGTATGAAGACCGAGGTGATATTTCCGAGATCCCAGCTATTTCGTTTTGTATCGTCAAAGACCTGGTTCGTGGTTTAGACTTCATGAAACCTTTAATCTATCCTTTATCTCAAGATATTCAATCTCAATATCAACATAGAGGCCCCTGGCATTAAGAAGTATGCGAATATGCGTACTTTTTAATGACATCTTCTATCCAATCGTCTTTTATTTCCGAGTTGACCTATGGATCTTCCACGCGATTTAACCCGAGGTACTTCCCTTAGACAAAAATCTCATCGTTTCATTCCTCAACCAGGGCTATTAAAGAGCAGAAGAAAATCATAGAGCAGTTTTCGAGAGGTTACGAACGTGTCTTCTCCACTACTCTTCCCAACGGGCACGTATCATAAATTTCGGATATTAATTTTAACAGTTTCGGGACACGCGTACGTACGAGATTATACCTGAAACTTTATGTCATAATAAAGTGGAAATTTCCTTCAAACGACGCGACGGTTTCTCACGCGCCTCTCCATCTTCAACGGTTAGAAAATATTGTGTATATATACTAATAAGTTTATAGTCCTTCTTCACAAAATCTTCATACAAGCAACTCTTTTCATCTTTTCGATTGTCTTATTGTTTCTTTACTCTTTTCTTCTATTCTTTCTTCATATCTCGCCAAATCCAGAATTCCTTAAAAATTTACTTCAATTTTCGGTAAGCCCTAATTTCCTCTTTCCATTTCTTAATTCCTTTGCGTTATTTTTTCTGGTCCTGATTATGACGGTGAATGGTGAGCATGTTGAGCCAAACAGTAGCAGTCGAACCGTGTCAGACATGAGGTTGGATGAGGAGTTGATGGAGTTGATGGGGGATTATTACCGGTGGGACCTTGTTTTTGTGGAACGTCTAGATATCCGTAAGAATAACGTTGAAGGAGACGCCGAGGTGGAGCGAGGTATTCCTGTGAGGTCGGGCTATTGGAATCGCCCTACCCGGCGTTGGCCCGATAACGATGTTCTGTTTCTAGGCGAACCTAGCACCATGACCGATGCTGACGTAGTCCTTCTTCGCGAGTCGGTGCGGATCCCTACCTCGGTGAGAATCTTTGCGCCTTATCCAGGAGAAAGGATTCATCGTCCTACTCCCGGTTGTGTGGGGATTTTTGCCGAAAGTCTGAGGTCGGGTTTGAGATTTTCTCTAGACAACGTAATAACTGACTACTTGCGTGATTGGGGTCTCAGCCTTAGTCAGATAACTCCCAACAGTTGGAAGAAAATTATAGGGATCATGGTCCTTCTGGCGCAAAAGAAATTTCCATTCCCTTCGATCGACGAGTTAAGAAGTATTTTTCTCTTTAAGAGAAGTAGGGAGCGTGAAGGAGTTCCCCCAACAGGCTGTTTTTTCTGTGCGGCGAGGCCGCAATACGACTTGAAGACAGGACAACTAATTACTGGGATTCGTGAAACCCTTCACGGTTTCCAAGACGAGTGGTTATGGGTTGGTGGAGATTGGCAGTCTCCCGATTTCCGACTTGAAGCACCAATTGATGGGATGACCATCCCAACCCGAGTTGTTTCTTCTTTCTGTAAGTTCCTCTCTTTTACTCGAAATCTCCTGACGAGTTGTTTTTCTTGCGCTAACAGGTCGGACCTTTTCATATTTGTAGCCAAAAGGAAAAAGGAGCCGAGATTGAGCGGCGAATTTAGAGAAAAGCTTGAAGATATTGCAAAGCTTAGTGCTTCAGAACGCAAGTGGAATCTATTTACGAAGAATTCTAAACTTGCTGACGCTAAACTCGGACCTAAGAAAGCGATCTCTGACTTTGAACCTGGTGAGTTCTTATGGTGTTGTTTTAATTCACGATTTTGAACCTGGTGAATTCATTGAAGATTGAAATGATTTCCGTTATTGTCTTTTCCTTTCAGTTTATTATCCG